GACCGAGGTTTTTAGGTGACAAAGGTTGCGGAAAGAAGTTGTAGAGGGAGATAGGTGGTGGATAAAGTCACGTCTTCGTATTGAAAGACGGGTATCGAGACCACCCACACTACAGTGAATATCCCAATACTCGGAGAGGAAGAAGTCTACACTCAATCCTCTCTCTTTAGTTCAATACAAAGAGAATCGATTTATTTATTGTAAGTGTTTTGAAAATGCACTCGGTACGGGGCCGAGGTTTTTTAGGAGAAAAAGGTGTGGATGAAAACATCTTCGTATTGAAAGACGAGTGTCAAAACTACCCACACTACAGTGAGCATCTCGACACTCGGAGAGGAAGAAGTCTACAGTCAATCCCCTCTCTTTAGTTCAATACAAAGTGAACTTTATCCTTTTGTTAAATATGGTGAGTTGGCTTAACAATCGTTTGAGAAAATCCGCTTGACGTTGGGTCAAGGGTTTAATTGCTTAAAAAGGTTTGAGGTGAAGCGAGCAAGGTCGATGGCGACGCACAAGGTAATCGGCTTACAAGGTCAAAAATGGCTCGATGAGAATCGAGAGTTTGTTTTCTTGAAAATAGTCTTTAGAACCAAAGGTAAAAACAATGACCAACAATAAATATTCATAAAAACCATACCAAACACAACGGGTTAATTGGCTAAAAAAACGAAACACAAAAAAAAACGGCGAACTCCTTGAGAAAATTTTTTTTGAGGTAAAAAAGTCGAAAAAACGTGAAAAACAGGGGTCTGACACAGGCGGCCGTGTCGTGTGACACGACCCGTATCACAGTTCCAGGAAAAAATGAGTTTTGAGTCAAACAGCGGTGTGACACGGCTGCCCGTGTTGCATGACACGGCCCGTGTCACAAAGTCTGGGGGGAAAATGTAAAAGAATGTCCCAGAGGTCATGCCTGTCAATACGAACTTCATCTGAATGTGGCACCAAACATCAAAGAAATCTCCAAATACATCTTGATCAGAGGACGGAAAGTGCAAAAGAATGTTGCGGGTGCACCAACATATTTCCTTCGCAAGGACCTAAAACAGATTGCTCAGGTGATTTTAATGCTCATTTTACACAACATCTGACCCCGTAGTCACACCACTACATTAACCTTAGATACCACACAACTGCTTTACTTTATCTTGAGTGGGAAAAGTGTGTGTGATGCACGAATAATTGCGAATTAAATAAGGATTGTGACTGAAAGTGGCTGAGAGGCGGGAATGGGAGCCAAATCCTCCTGTCTGCTGGTTTTTCCAGGATTGATCATGTGATTACTATGTGCTCCCCGCATGGTAATCCTAAACCAGGTACACCATACACTAATGGGGACAGTGAATGATGCTTACATTACCCGTTTCTACAAAGTTGACACCACCACAAAGCAAGCCACAGGCAACCCTACACCAAACAACCTGAACTTTGATGAATCGTGGATCCTTCTTATACACATGGGACCAAAACGAGGCTATCAACCATGCAATGTCTAACATACAAGATTCCATGTACATATTGCAGTTACAAACGCGTACCAAACACATGTTTCTTGGCCTGGTGTCATACCTCAAAATTATGTGGCTTATGTACATCCACCCTATAATTATCATTCAGAAAATCCCAAAAAATATGTGGCTTCTGCTTATTGTCCAAACTAAGGATATCACAAGGTTGAGTTAAAGTGAAATGAGATTCATTTGAGGTTGTTAGGACAGGTGTATATGCAATATTGATTGAGGTTCAATGGTTTTGACCAAATTTTAGTGAGGAAAGAGTTTGTTTCAAGGTCAATCAAGGCTATGATGTATAATCCAAGTGATGTATGTTTGAGGATCTAATTAGGGTTGTGTGCCAGTTCAAGTTTGTTGTGGATGGATAAAGTTGTCAAGCATTGTCCGGTTCATAGTGTTTCATGGTTGATAATCATCAGGACCCAACACATGTTTAATTAAGGTTTGGTATATTCGTAGTGCAGTTAAGCCATAATACTTTGATTTTCAAGGAGTGTTCCTATTCATTTGATATATAGTGAAGAGATGGGCATCATGATTCAATTGGCAAAATTCAGAGATAAATTCCTGTTGATTCAAAGCTTCAATCCATTCAAAGTACAAAATCAATTTATCCTTGATTTTAAAGTGAGAATTCAAGGGCAGAATTTGGTTCATGAGACTTATGGGGTCTTATTGGAATTTCAAATCAAGAAAAATCAAGTTCAAGGTTCTACAAAATACATGTTTCATGAAGCTACCACAAAGTCCACATTCATACAAAAATATCAAAAAAATGTACAAAAAAAGCTCATGTTATTTTAATCCACATTGCATTACCAAGACTTACATATGAGAACTCATCACAAATAAGTTACAAGCCCAACACAAAGTCCATCTACAAAAAAAAATTGGTTTTTTTTTACAAAAAAAGAAGGCCTATGTTGATAAGATCTATTAGAAGAAAACCTATTATCTTTTTTACAATCCAAACTCACAATATAGAAAAAAGGAGGTAGGGGATAAGGTCTTTCTGAAAAACAAAGCAAGGTCCTTTACAAGGAAAAACCAAGAGCACAAGCAACATACTTTTCTGGAAGTGCAACAATTGCAAGAAGTGGAAAAGGTTTCACACTTCATGGACATGCGTAAGAAAAACCTAGACTAGGTTTCCCCAAGAAACCATCATGAGCAACATTCAATGCTATGCACATTTCTTTCCCACTAAATGATCAAGTTTCCATAACTAATGGACATTTTGACGTCTCTAAAAATTGATTGAATAACGTATTACTCTTGTGATACCTAGAGGCGCACCCAAGGCCCGTTCCAAAATGCGTCTACTCTTAAAGGACTCGTCCTTAACCAAGGGATTAACCCCTAACTAAGGAACTCGTCCTTAATTGAGGGACTCTCCCCTAACTAAGGGACTCGTCCCTAACTGAGGGACTCACCCTTAATTAAAGGACTCACCTCTAACTAAGGGATACACCCCTTATTGAGGGAGCTTCCTCCATTTATGGGACTCGCTTCAAAATCACGTGGAAGACAAGTTAATCACTTCACCTTTTACAGACCCTCGTGCTTGAGGGACTGTGTAGTGATATATTTGTAAAAGACACTATTGGGATGACACAGGGACCAACCCTTATTAAGTGTCCGCCTAAGGGAATGTCTCCTAGATATGACTCCCCCCCCCCCCCCCCCCCCACCAATGGCTCACCTTGAGGACAAGGAAAGGATAGTGATGAGTATGTTACCCATAACCAAGTGCAGAAGCAGTCATGACCATGATTCCCATAGAATTAGGTAGTCCGTGAGCTTCATGATTAAGGTAATACAATTACTACTTCTTAAATTCCCCTAATTCCATGCTCACAAGCCTTTATAAAAGCGGATTGATTTGATATTCACAAAAAACACCTATAAATCAGAGCTTATCACCCTAATGAGCATGCACTAACCCCACAGAAACACTAAAGACTCTAAAAACTCCTACCAGGTTAAGGTTTCTACGCATTTGTACATTTTTTAGCAAGTATAATATAATAAACTCACTTATATATATATATATATATATATATATATATATATATATATATATATATATATATATATATATATATATATATATATATATATATATATATATATATATATATATATATATATATATATATATATATATATATATATATATATATATATATATATATATATATATATATATATATATATATATATATATATATATATATATATATATATATATATATATATATATAGTTAAAAGACACAATTGTGGTGAAATGTAGTGATGCACCCTTTTAAAATACCAACATATTATCAACGGGTATCGAACTCATGACCATGCCACTTTTCACTACGGTTGGACTTACCAACTGTGGTAAAATGTGTGCACTATCATGTTTTTTACCACGACCACTAACCATGTTGAAAAATATGACACTTACTACCACACTCTTCGTTACCACAAACCTCAAACTGTGATGAAATCCTTCTTTCAAACATGGTGATAGGTAGTTTTTGTAGCAGTGACGGCATCTTGTTACTTTCTAATATGGTTGTCTCTTTTTTGAACCAACTTATATGTACTTTGATAATAAACAGAGTCTTCTTTGAGGGTGTGCATGTAACATGAGATACAACACAAGACCTAAAATTTGTCATGCTTAAACTGTGACTAAATAAAGTCTCATAATATACTTGTCACGGTTAAACCATAGTTAAATAAGACCTCTAATTGTTTTGTCTAGGTTGAGTCATGACTAACCTACTCAGGGTCTTTAAAAAGTTAAGACGACCCATGACAAGATTCTCATTTAAAATTTTCATTGCTTGATATTTCATGAACGCACCAATCACATTGAAATCAATTATCACTTCTTTCATCATATTTAACATAGAACAATTACTTTACGGTTTGTTTACTTCTCCTTGCATATCATTGATTTGCTTACCAAAATGCATTATATTAAATGTCTTTGTTTCTTAACTTCACAAACTCTCGATATTCCCTGTTAATACATAGTAAATTTGAAAAAAAGTGTTAGATAATATTATTATAATATTTTTTTTATTATATCTTTATATTAAATACTCTATTGTAATATTTAATGCCTAATTTTTGTCATTTAAAAAAATCCTTGTCTCGTTTTTCCTCCACCTCTCTCTTTTGCTAACAAAGAGAGCAAAAATTCATTAAGCCAAAACCAAACACAATACGAGAAACCAAACAGGTTTGATTAACATAACATATATATACATGCTGACATATGCAGCAGAATTAGGGAAAAACATAAACAAATAAGGGTAGGAGGATCTTGGTTCAAACAACTCTGTTACCTTACATATTACATTCATCATCCCACAACACTATATCCGATTCTATATTAACCATATGATAAGATAACAACAGGATCTTTGCAAATAAAGTGTCCTTATTAATCAAGACAGCTAAGACACAGAAGCGAAATCACATAATTTTCATTTAAAGAAACCTCCAGCAACCTTAGCAAAATCTCCCCCTAATCCACCAAGCCCACCTGATCCTCCTCCATCTTCGGATTTAACCGCTTCTTCGGATTTCGGTGCATCGCCACCTTTGGGCTGATCTGGTTTAGAAGTTGGTGGAGCAGCAGTGGTGGTGCTGTTGCCGGACTCATACTGATGCAGGTAATCAGCAGCCTTATCAAGATACTGTCCTGCACCCTTATTATCATCCAACTTAGCATACTGACCAACTGCATCTAGAAGATCACCTGCAGCCTGTGCAGCTTTGGCTTTGTCTACCTCTGATTCTTTCCCGAGACCTGACTGTGCTGCCTCTGCAACCACCTTTGCGCTTGCCATAAGCTCGCTTGTTGAATACTTCTTCTCTTCTCCACTTGATGCCATCTTTTCTGTTGAATGGTTTCTGCAAGACTTCAATAGGGTTGTTCAATTATTTATATTCTTAGTTGGGATATTTTTAAAATGAAGATTGTGGTTGAAGATCATGTGGGTCTACCTTAACTATTCATACATAAATAATACTACAGTGTGGGGTTTGCGTGTCCTTTGAAACACTCTCTGCCTCTCACTGTCGGCAAACCGTGTTCCTTTAACGATCACTCCTTATTATATCTCTTAACTCTTAGTCACATTAACGGTTAGAGTAAGGGCAACTTACACTCTAGAAAAAAGATAAAAATTGATGGATTGAATTTGTAACTATATTTAAATAATAAATTTGATTCAACATATAGTATATATTTAGGGTCCGATTTTTTAAAAACTAGATTGAATCGATCGATCGGATCAATCGAACTAAGAATCGAAATAGTCATTGATTTGATCTGATTGCTGGATCGGATATGATATTGAATTAATGGTAATCATCCAAAACAAATCAAAAAAATAGTAAAAATCGTTAAACTTAAAAAACTAACCGATTAAATAATATTTTTTCTCTCTTAAAAAACGTCGCGTTAATAATTTTTTAAAAAATATAATTAAAATATAATTAGATTTTACTCAAAAATTTTATTTAGAATCAATAACTTTCTCTAGTTTGCAATTAGACTTAGATTCAAAATTTATTTTAAATTTATATTTTATATTATTTTGTTGTGAGTGGTGATTATATTTTGAATTTAAATTTAAAGAATGAATATGATAAATTATTATATTTTGAAATTTTGAAATTTTATAAGTGTGGTATAGTTTTTTAAAGATCGAATCATTCGGTTCGATTGATTTAATAAATATATAATTTTACTATAGAGGTTGATTTATTCAATTGAATTATCTGATTAATCTAATTTAATCATACAATTTGATCAGTGGTTCAATATCCTAACTGATTTGATAATCGGTCTATTTTTGAAATAATTGGTTATAATAAAGTAACACAATTACTTGCGGCTCACACTATCTAAAGTAAAGGTAGTTACTCATCTAACCAACTTTTAATCAACTTCCAATTAATCATGCTTGAATTATTCTTTAACAAGTTCTCTTAATTCAACTATGTTTTCTAAGAATTTACTCACTAAACTGAATTACACTCAACTCGTTCCTAAGAATAAAAAATATATAGTTTCCAATCTTTTGGTAAAAATATCTTCAAGTTGTGATTCAGTTGGACAGGGTGTCACCTTTAACCTTTCAATGTTCACTTGCTCCACCAGAAAATGAAATCTTGTCTTTATATGATAGCTCATACAATGTAGTGTGGGATTCCTTGATAGGTGTTTTGAAGATTTGTTGTCAATTTGCCATTCGATAAGCTTCTTCCATTCAATCCCCAGTTCCTTAAATATTATGTACTTATCTCCCATAATGACAATGCCACAACAACTTGTGCTTTTTTTTAGCATCAAGAGATTGATACATCATAAACTTAAAAGTATTCATTCGAGATTATTATCTCTATTTTATCTCTTACATCAATCAGCATTAGAATAACACATAATAAAAACATTAATTAATTATGGGTATTCTAGAAATAAGATATCAAAATTCATTGTGACTTTTATGTGCCTCAATATTATACATGTATTCATTGTGGAATCTTATCTTACTAGTTAACTTTTAAGGGATATGTTTTTATCGAGGAGAACAACTTTTGAAAATGACAATTAATTTTTAATAATGACAATTAGTCATTGATGACAACAACTAAAGTCAAGAATAAAGTAGTTAAAGTAGTTAAAGATGCAAACCAAATTATTAGGGGATGATGAATTTGACTATTAGATGATGAAAATCAAATAGAATTTAACTCAAGTCTCATATCAAATAAACTCAAACAAGTGTCTACAAGAAAGAAAACATTTGACAAGACTTGAAGTATGTGAAATCTTGCCTCGACACGTCTGAGTGAACATATTGTAAAGTATAAGAGTGTTTTTGTAAAAGTACATGGATAAATAAGAAACATACATAAACTTGTTTTCAAACTTATTTTTCTTAGGAAAACATTTTAAAAATACCTTGAAATCGGACCAACTGAGTTAGGAGTTGTTAGAAAAGCTCTGGGAAACTTTTTGTCCCTGCAAAATGATTGACACCTTATTCCAATTGATTGGGAAAGTTCAAAAATGTGTCCTAAGCGATTAGGACAGTGTTTTAATGATGGATAGCAGTTAGGTATCTTTCTCTTCTATTTTTAATTTGTTAATCTTTTATTTTAGGTCAACCAATCGATTGTCAAGTCATAAAAAACCTTAAAAATTATTTGTTTTTTGTGTCAATCTCTAGCCTATAAACAGAGGTCATTTCCCACTCTTTTTCACATCCATAAACTTGATTTTATTTCTCTCTTCTCTCTCTCTCTCTCTCTCTCTCTCTCTCTCTCTCTCTCTCTCTCTCTCTCTCTCTCTCTCTCTCTCTCTCTCTCTCTCTCTCTCTCTCTCCATATATATATATATATATATGTGTGTGTGTGTGTGTGTGTGTGTGTGTGTGTGTGTGTGTGTGTGTGTGTGTGTGTGTGTGTGTGTGTGTGTGTGTGTGTGTGTGTGTGTGTGTGTGTGTGTGTGTGTGTGTGTGTGTGTGTGTGTGTGTGTGTGTGTGTGTGTGTGTGTGTGTGTGTGTGTGTGTGTGTGTGTGTGTGTGTGTGTGTGTGTGTGTGTGTGTGTGTGTGTGTGTGTGTGTGTGTGTGTGTGTGTGTGTGTGTGTGTGTGTGTGTGTGTGTGTGTGTGTGTGTGTGTGTGTGTGTGTGTGTGTGTGTGTGTGTGTGTGTGTGTGTGTGTGTGTGTGTGTGTGTGTGTGTGTGTGTGTGTGTGTGTGTGTGTGTGTGTGTGTGTGTGTGTGTGTGTGTGTGTGTGTGTGTGTGTGTGTGTGTGTGTGTGTGTGTGTGTGTGTGTGTGTGTGTGTGTGTGTGTGTGTGTGTTTGTATGTGTTTACTTTCTCTTCTTAAAATTTTAGTCATAGTGCTTCTGAGAAAGTCCTTTTGCGAGCGAGGAAACTGTAATTCTAAAAGGGTAGTTTTGTAAGTTCACCAAGGAGGTCTTTGTTTTTACATTGGTTGAACATTTTATCCTATTAGGAATTGTATGTTTGGGTTTGAAGCTAAACTCGAAAAAAAGCTTTTGTTTGAGGATTGTGTGATCAAATCTCCGTTTAGATTCTTGGTTAGTCAGTGATAAAACCAAGTTTAGGTTCAAGCTTAGCCCGTGATAAAACCTTGTTTAGGTTTGATATAAGCCCGTGATAAAATCTCACAGATTCTTGGTTATCCCGGTGTAAAACCAAGGTTAGGTTCGCAATAAAATCATTGTTTGGAAGCTTGAAGTCTAACTGCTTCAAGTTTCTTTTGGAAAGGAGATCGACCTCTTCGGTCCCTTGTTTGGAAGCTTGAAGACTAAGCGCTCAAATTTTTGTGTGGAAAGGAGTCTAACTACTTTGATCCATTGTTTGAAAGGAAAAGTCACTGCTTCACTCCTCGTTTTGCTGTTTGATTGGAAGTTAGCCATAAAACTAATTTTTCTTGTATGAAGGGGTTCAAAAGTTCAACCTACTAAAAACTCTTAAGCTTATTGGATACTCTCAAGATCAAATATTGAGGATAGGAATAAGTCGTTTTTGACTGAACATGTATATCTTTTGGTGTCTTCTTTCTTCCCTTAAAGTCTTTATTTTCCGCACTTTATATAATGCAATTCTGTCTTTTTCGCAGTTTAAATTAAAAATGCTTTCAAACATTATATTTTGATTCAGAACTTTTTTCAAATTCAAGTTTTTCTGAAACGCGCAGTTCACCACCCCCTCCCCGTGTGTGAAGTAACATGTCTAACATTCATGTGAGTAATTCTACTATTAACCATAAATGAACTTAATAGTCATACACCAAAGCATATGTTTGGTTTGCTATTGAAAGGCTACCTAAGTTAATCAATAATTTGCTTGAAAAGTGTTGAGTCCCTCTTCTCTTCTTCAAATCCTTTCTCAAGTATGATACTTACTTTAATTGGTGTGGTTGTAAGGCTGCAATCACTCATCTTGAACCTTTTCTTTTATTATCTTACATACTTTCTTTCATATAGTATAATTTTCTTTGAAGTGCAAATAAATTTCACTTAGAAAATAGGACAATATTTACAATTATGTATGTCATTTCAAACTCAAAAATCATAAGTTGCTTGAATTTATCAATGTTTGCTAAGTTACTACAGATTACCAATAAATCATCAACATATAAGCTTATAGATTGTTCTTAATCTTGCAGACTGCATATACACACCATACTCGTCTTTGAACTACATAAGTCTTAATTGAACTAGAAAACATGTATTATATCATTCCAAGCTCTATGAGCCTGTTTAAGGCTACACAAGTCCTTGTAAAGACTACACGCTGTTGCACCCTAAAATTTGACCAACCGATTCTCCTATCTGGCTCGTGGGTTAAAGTCATATTCGCAAATCAGACGCATGACATTTGTGCACAGACAGAGGATATCAGGGTTACAGCTTGGTTTTCGTCTATCAGATATGGCAGATCCCGTCCAGATCATCAGGGTTTTATTCTCGGGAAATTGTGCGTTCCTCGGTGATTTTCAGCTTGCATAGTGATTTTGGGATATTCTGATGCCCGGGGTTCTCTGTTCGATTCGATCTGGTCTCGCGCGCTCTTTCATGACAGACATTTGCATTTGTCTGCATTTTTAGGGTTTTAATAGCTTTTGTGGATTTTTTTTAATAGGCATTTTAATCATTTTTAGGATTTAAATAGATTTTTTAGAATTGTAAATAGCTTAAATCTCTTTTTAGAATTTTATATAGATTTTTAAATAGATTTAATGGTTTTTTTTATCATTGTTAGAATATATTGGATTTTAAAATAGTTTTTGTTTTAGATAATATAGAAAATATTATAGATTTTTCTTTTATGTTAATAGGGATTTTAATAGT